TATGCGCGTAAATTGAAAAAAATAATTTATCGATAAGGTCAACAACAATTGTGGTGCCACAACACAGAGCACTGATAACCGCTGATAACATCATTCCGCTGATAACATAACAACTGAGAAATTATTTTCTATAAGCGTCATCAGCCCACCACCACTACATACGTTTGAATGTAGTATGTACATTAGACTGCATCACTCCCCATACAAAAAAAAAATCGGTACTGTGTTTCCATTGAAATCATATAATCTATATTCTTAGGACGTCCACCAAAATATTTCGGAAAAATATTAAGTTTTACGTGAGCTGGACCGATTTGAAAATACCTCCAAAAATTGAGCTTTTAATGAATAAAAATAGTTTCTTTAAGATTTTTTTGGAAAAATCGCCTCAAATGACAAAACGGTTTAAGCTGAAAAAATTTTGCATAAAAATATTTTTAAAAAGTTTAAAAAAATTTGGAACGGAATCGTAATAATGAGATTTTTGATGCTGTTTTTTAAATTTTTTTAAAGATTGGTATAAGCAAAACTTGAATAACTGAACCTAAACTCTTCCGATATAGACTTGTGAGGTATGATTGGAAAGGTATTTTCTTACCCCTTTTTTACCTTGGCTAATAAACTTATTCAAAGGATGAAAGATATAGGTAGGATGAACGAACGTCATTCAAAGTTGAATTAAGATGTATGTTGGTATTTGAAAAAAGAAATTGGGACAAAAATGACTTTTTTTTGGACAGAAATAAAAATAGTGGGGAAATATCTTTCTACTGAGATCCCATAAGTCTAGATCAGAATAGTTTTGGCCCAGTTATTCAAGTTTTTCGTAAATCAATCTTTGAAAAAAGTAAAAAAACAGCATCAAAAATCTCATTATTACGATTCCGTTGAAAATATTTTTAAATATTTTTATGCAGATTTTTTAAGCTTAATCTGTTTTGCCCTTTGATTTTTCAGGAAGTTCTTTAAGAAAATATTTTTATTCATAAAAAACTCCATTTTTGGAGGTATTTTCAAATCGGTCCAGCCCATGTAAATCTTAATATTTTTAAGAAATATTTTGGAGGATGCCTTAAAATATAATAAATTTTACGGTCGTATTTAAAAATAGCAACATCATGAGGCACTACGTTATTTGGTCCTACGTACAAAATAAAGACATCCACGAAAATTTAAAAATTAACAAAAAAATGAAGTTTTTGAAAAAAATTTTTTTTTTATCTTAAAAATTGGACAAAATTTTGACTTTGACCAGCTATAACCCAGCGAATTTATGAATTTAACTGAATAAGTTTCTCTAACATGCAAATTTATCATGCTTCAAGTCAAAACTGTGTAGAATTTTTGCGATTTCAAAAAATTAAAATTTTTTTTAAGCCTTTGTAAGCCCCTAACATTTTTTTTTTAATTTTTAAATTTTCATGAATGTCTTTATTGGGTACGTAAAACAAAATAAAGAGTTCCTCTTGCAAAATGCAGATGTTGATATTTTACGAACCACTCTAGCATACATACATATGTACACCCGCCTTATGAATTGTTTCTACTTGGCTAATAGCGGTGAAAAGGGTGCAAGTGAGCGAAAATTAAACGACAATACCCATATAGTGAACTTATAAATACAGGGTAGTCCAAGTGTAAGTAACATTTCTTTAATCGAGGTCGTTTATATTCTGAAAGTTCCGGTAAATTCGACTATAACTAGGAAGATTATTAGAGGAAGCCACTTTAGTATTTGTTGTAACATACATATCTCTATTTACTGAAAGGTCAATCTACCCTAGGACAGTAAACAGTCCGATTCGTGGAAGAAACCAGAAACGAAGTGAATGGAGTCCAAGTCCAGCACCCTCAAATGACTTAGTAGCCTGCGTGGGCATCACTGGTTCGATGAGAAAAACACTAACAGTGGCTCTCGGCGCGCTTCAGCATAGATCTACCTTCTCTGGACATTATAAACAAGAAATAGACTCTACTCATTTTAGGGGGATATTTGGGTAATAAGAAGCTACTACACCGATCCACTTTCATGGTTATACAACCAGAGAAAAGATTACGATTTGTGAACCTGGATCTTCTGAGACTAAACATAAACACATATTTTTAAGGAATTTTTCTTAAAGGAACCAACTGGAGCAAAGAAGGAACAAAACATCAGAAGGTATATTGAAGGGTCCAAGATTGGCCATAGCATCGGAGCCGGAGTCTGTAGTATACAAACTAGAAGGGCCCTTTTCAATAGCGAGTTAGCCTTCTCTTTCAGTAGGCGAACAATAAAAACGTCTATAGCAATTTTTCGAAATTCGAAAAACATCAAGAATTTACAGTGATAGAAGTTATTTCAGAGATCACTACACTTTCTCATCAGACTTCTTCATCGAACTCACTGGGATTTGAACCGTGAAACTCCGACCTACAAAGGTAGTGGTCTACTCACTGAGCTACATATCGATGGCTGAGTGGAAGATCGACCTATTTCGGCAGCCAGTTCATAAACGCCCTATATCGGAAAACTTTTCAAGAACGCCCTACTTCATAATGGAGCACTTGCCAATCCTAGGGTAAACGGGAAACAACAGATTAAATTATGCCTCCTACGATGCACGTGGCTAGATGCACATGACTTTAATAGCACTCAGCCAAGGGACCTCACTACGATACGTGGGTAAAAGAAGGGCTGTAGCTAAATGCCGGTATGTTACATTAGATCGTCCTTGATCGCGATACTCAGGAGGGCAACGGCTAATGACGCCGTATGTCAAAAAGCTATTAGGGAACGGACAGGAAGCGCTCACCTTCGCAGGTGATGCAAATGCGCACCATACAACGTGGGGAAGCAGCGACATCAATGAAATGAGTGAGTCACATTTCGACTTCCGTATTAACTCCACCTTTATCACCAAAAATCGACACGAGCTACTAGATGTCACTCTGGTCTTGGAGGATGTGGAGGAGGTAATACCGAACTGGATGGTTCTTCAGGAGCACTCTTTTCCGATCACCGATATATCCAATTCGACATAGGCCAGACTGAACAGAAGGACCACCAAGTAAGATTAGAAACATTAGAAATACAGACTGGCATTTAGGTGTATACTTGCATATATAGTCAAGAGCTAGAAAAACTTCTACCCTAAACTTTACTCCGTTCACACCAGAGGAACTGGCAGACCGGTTTACGGGCACATGCTGCAAGGCGTTAAATCGAGTTTGCCCAGTTATCAAGCAGTCCCTTAAATTTAGTCACGGCTTTCAAAAGTGAGCAACACTGGAAAGCGTATAAACAGAACCTAAAGCGGCGGTCGCTGTGGTGTAGTTGTAAGCAGTGCGTGTTTCCATTCCGCAGGGCCTATGTTCAAGCTCTGGTCAAAGCACTACCGCAAAATAAATATAGAAAAAAGGTGTTTTCCTAACAGCGATTGGCCCTCGGAAGGCAATGGCTAACCTCCAAGTGTATTTCTGCCATGAAAAACAGCTTCTCATAAAAATACAACGCCATTCGAAGTCGGCGTAAAACTGTAGGTCTCTCCCCATTTGTGTGACAACATCAAGGCGCACGCCACAAGTCGGAGGTGAAGCTCGGCGAAACACTAACATATGTGTAAATTTCAATCTATAATTATTATTATTATTATTGTTATTATCTAAGGACTATACAAATTCCCGCCGAAGGCAAACAAAAATTTTTGTAGAGACTTCTCCAGCAGCGTGGAATTAGCACCGGAGGGGAGCAGGGTTAGGAAAGTACTCTCCGGGCCACCCGCACAGCCCGGGTTGCCTGCAGAAACTCAATGGTATGTGGACAGAGACGGGGAAGAAAACCCTTCATACAGGAAATTTTCTCAAAGAAGAAGATCTCCTGGGCTATTAAAACCTTCAAGCCATACAAGACCCGATTTCAGGTTTTAATTTAAGCCTAAGTGAAAGGTTCTATGACATTTTGTTTCTTCGCTAGAGCTACCCAAATTTTGCCAAAAATGCGATTTTTGTTCACTTTGACCAAGTTTTTCTCAAAATCTGTAACTGATAGAAACTTTGTACGTACGGATACGTAATTAGCACTAGAGAGTCTATCAAAAATAGGTCCTGTATGTGTATGACTGTGTATTACTGTATACAGCAATGCCTTTTCTGATCCTTATATACGGGAGCAAGGAGAGGGGCAGAATCTATGACTAAGGTTACCAAAGGTTTGACAGGATATTTGCTTTCTTTATTGAGAGTAGAACACCCTTTATTTCTATAGAAGTATGCTAAGTACGTACGTACCCATGTACATACGTACATGTGGGCACCTAGTAAATCTGTCAACCAACCCATATTTTGCAATGCCTAAAACTTTTTTTTTTAGAGAGCCTCTCCCATGCATGAGTACAAATAGTCTATGTTGT